GTAGCTAGAAAATCGGCTTTGGCGGATTCTGGAAGGGAAATCCAACCCATTGATCTTGTTGGAGTCATGGAAGTCGACGTCAGGTTTCCATTGGTCCACAGGTGGGATTTCAGGTGTAGCCTTCATTGATGGCAGAGCTTCCCCCCGGGGATGACATAGGTCTCGGCGATCTCGGTGTGAGAGGGCGTCGTTGAGGTGCAAAATTGGCGTTGTTGAGAGGTTGTTGGGAGAACGTAGGCGGTGTGGGTGGGAAAGGTGGTGTGGGCGGAGTCCATGTTGGGCGTGCTGAGAACGATGTAGACGTCGGTGGTGGAGGAGGTATGCCAGCAGGATTCCAAATCGGTCGAGGGGTCGTCATTGCAAAATGCATCGGACCACGAAACAAAGGTACTGTTTGATGCCAGCCATGTTGAGGTCGATGAGGTGTGCGCGAACGATCAGGCTGTGAAGGAGGGATGGCATTCAGGTCGGGGCTAAACTGAGAGATCAGGTCTTGGGACGCCATGATGTAGACAGTAGCCACGAAATAATAGGTCGAAATAAGCGCGATCAGCCAACTGAAATCTGCGGTAGGGGTGAAAAGGTGATACGAAGATATCGCACGATCTGAAATGTGTGAAACATGATATATTCTACCAAGGTGTGTGAAACATCAGGTGAAAACGAAACGAAGACGGTGTGCAGGCAGCAATTCATATATCTTTTGACGGAAGAAGTGGCTCAAATACCGAATGTCGGGAGAAGCATTGTTACTCCAAAAGAATCGGTCGGGGCCACTAGGCTCACTGGATCACGGTCTTGGAGTAATCATCAGATTGCCAGGTACTCCTCAGTGATGAAGTGCTTACCAGCGAGGTCTGGAGTGGTTGTATGCCAAAGTGCGGGATCGAGCTTGGCCTTCGCGATGTTGATCTCGAGAGTGACCTTCACGATAGGATGAACGACGGTCTCGACGGGTATACGTTGAACTGTCCCAAGAAGGGTTGTTGTTCCAATGTCGGCGAGCATGATCTGGTGCGGTATGTTCGGTGGTCTCGTGGTGGGTGGTTGTCGCTCCGGAGTCGTCTGGTGGTGGATCTGAAGGTGCAGGTAAATCAGCGGCAGGGTTGGGTCGTGCTGGTAGTTCACGATCAGCTGGTGTGTTGTCCGGAGGTTCACTTGGTGCTGCGGCAGTGGGTGGGCGCGTTTCCGGTGCAGTGTGTGTGTGATCAATCCTGGGAAAACCGAATGAGTAGAGGCAACGTAGCATATTGATGCAGCACTGGAGTTCATAGCCGTTGCATTGTCTTTGCCCTTGGAGATGCCCTGTAAGTTGCACAAACGTTGAATCTGGTCATTTCCTCCGGATAGGGCACGCATGCATTTGGGAGAGCGACAAATGGCCAAAAGGCCAGATGGGTTTTGTCCTTTCCCTATGCGGTAGAGCTGGGATGTACATAACTTGACGGCATAGCCTGGTAGGTCTTCGATGTCAGGAATCTCAGAGGACATGCCGAAGAATCCGTAACATGGGTATTGAGTCGGATAGCCTGCCTCGTTTTTTGTCCAAGTTGCCGGGCGAATGCAATCTTCAGCAAGGATCTTGGCAACTGTTTCCCAACTCGTTTTGTGGTAGATCAGGTAGGTGCCCGCGTGTTCGCCACGATAGATCGGTTTCTTGGGCAGCCCCGTTGGCACCGTGATGGTCAGCAGGTTCTCTGGTTCGACATAAAAGGCCCGTGTTTTCTTTGCCAGATCGATGTCAAGTAGTCTGGATTGTGCAAAGGCCCTGGCAATGTTCATGACGGTGGCTTGGCTTGCTTTGATGAAAATAAGTTCGTTGTTGATGGTGCGATGTGGTTGAGCCAACTGGTTGAACATTTCGTCCACGAAATTGTTGAAGAGAAGTTTATTGGGTTGGTTCAATGTTGTGCGGAGAGGTACTGTATAGTCTGGGTCAAGCTCGGTCAAGCATCGTACACGAAGTGGATCATTGGCCGCCTCAACAAGTTCGCTGAGTTCGATGTCATTCTTGTCGAATTTTGAGATTGAAAATGCTTCGGCTGCATCTGAGTTTTCGCTGTCACCGTCCGGGACACGGAAGGCCACGGCTCCAAGTGGTGCTGTTGGGTGTGCTGGTGGGTTTGATGATGGATCAGGTGGTGGTGGTCCCGCAGGAGATCTGGGTCGATCTGTGCCGTGATGGTGGTCGTCAGGATAGTGACTGTTGTTCCATTTGCCCCAGGAGTCATCAGCATCAGGTGTGGGAATGAAGTTTGGATTGGATGGACGTGTGGCTGGTCGTAATACGACTTCACGGCCTCGGGAATGGCGACGAGGAGTTCTGGAGCGTGGTCGGGGATGAGATCGATGACGTCGATGAGCAGCTGGTGAGCGCCGTCTGGGTGGTGATCTTCTTCTGTATGGGGAAGGTGTTCGGCGATCTTTGTCATGTTTGGTCGAAGAACGATATCGAGGAAGGGGAGAACAAGGTCGATCCGTACGGTGAGGGGAAGGTCGTCGATGATGCGGTTGTGTGGATGGTCGACGGGAGCGTGATCTTCGAGTCCTGGATCGTGGTCGGCGTGATGGCGATGTTGGTGGATGTGGATGGTGAGGAAGAGGGACGGCTGGAATCGAGACGGTGATGTGGTCCGGAGCTTCAGGTTCAATGGGTCTCGCTTTCGGTGCAGGTGGAGGCATTGTTGTGGGTAGTGCCGATGTAGGTGATGGTGTAGGCGGTGTGGGGCCAGTTGTAGGTAAATCTTGGTGGAGAAGTTGTTGACGTTGTTCCTGAGCGCGTTGGGAGTCCAGGATCATCTGTTGTTGAGCTTGGATAAAACGAACCGATTCTGCAAGTTGTTGTGTAGTAGAACCCAGCGCTGCAAGTTCTGGCGAGATGGGCGGTGAAGGTGCTGTCGTTGGTTCAGGTGGTGTAACAGGGAGTGAAGCTTTTGGAGTTGAACGGCGTAGTTTGTCAGGTTTCTTGTCGGAGCGAAGCTTCGGGGCGGCCTTGACTGCAGGTTGTCGAGGTTCATCTGGAGGAAACGTAGATGCTTCGGTCAGCGGTGGAGAATGAAGGGTACGAGGTGGGTACGGTGAGCTCTGCAGTGGTGTCGGTGGGGTAGTCGATGCATGGGATGGAGCTGGAGCAGTGTGCCATGTGGTTGGAGCAGTGGGTGCCGTGGGAGTAGTGAAAGCCGGTGGAGCGGTGTGCACCATGGTGGTTTCAGGAACCAAGGGTGTGGTCATTGTAGGCACGAGGTGGGGAGCTGGTACTGCATGAGGAGCTGTAGCCAATGATGCGAATGACAAGGATGGTGTGGCTGAAGCAGGCGGCATGAGTGAAGACGACGAAGACCATGTAGGATGCAATGGCGAAGGTTGTCCAAATAAATGTGCACTCGGCGTTGATTGTGGCCACGTCGAAGAAGCAGGTGGATGCTGCGGCGGAGTAGGCCATGACGTCGGCGAGGTTGTCCACGGGTACATTGCTCAAATAGAGAGAAAGAAAGAAAACCGATGCTGAAAGTTTCACAAGAAGGATTCAGTCCCTAAACCTAGAAGTCGTGCGTTAAGCCACTCCAGGCACGCGGTCAGGTCTTGCCACAATTGGCATAAAACGGCTTTCAAGTTCCATCGAATTGGATGCACAATATGTTTCACCTCACCAAATACCAAAGAGACCACACCTGCAGGAAGAGGACATGCCTGTTGCCTGTTGTCTTGCATGTCATGTCTCATCACAAACGCTGAAGCTGCAGTAAAAACGGAGGTTTCTGAATGTTCGGCATAGCTGCACATGAAAGAACAGATCACTGGGGTCCCTGGGACAACAGGAACAGCGGGGCATCGTAAAATGGTGCAGAACAGTAAGGCCAGCTGTTGCACGTTACTTAAACGAATTACTAAATTAAAATGTGTGAATTCAGAAGTCCGGACAGTCAACATTCACCCTGAAAAGGGTTGCCTCCAATGGCTCCATGGCACCATGTCGGAGCCACCATGGAAATCACACTAGACAAGAATGGATCATTATATGATCCGGCAGGAACTGACTCCTGAAACATGCAGATTAGATACGAAACAACGAAATTAACGATGCATCCTACGAATAATAGAAGTTCTCCTGAATGGTTTCCATGGCCAAGATCGTCATCAAAAATTATATATCGGCGACGTGGTTTTGACAAAATAATCCAAATACATCGGCGACATGGTTTCGGCGAAATAATCCAGAAAATCAAAAATAGTGTCGGCGACATGGTTTCGGCGAAAATACTGAGGAAGGTTCTGATGCAATTGAACCAAGCATAAATGATCAAACGTAATTCCAGATTGCGACAACAGTGCAGCAAATTGTGTAATATTGTGGTTGGGGTTCTAAGCTTGGCCCCTTGCTATTCCGGAAAATTCGAGCTGCAGGTACGCAGAGCTGATCAGGCTCTGTATCCCATACAATCAGGTAGCTTCGTTGGACGTGGTCCCTGATTGTATGCCACGTCCCCCTGCAAACGTATAATCATTCAAAATTAAGAAGTTTTACATCTGTTCAGATGTCACACACACACACTAGACAAGAACTGGATCATTGGAGTGATCCCTAGGGAACTGAATCCCTGTAACCAATGACAAAACATGTTACTTAGGGGTTCTTGGCTTAGCCCCATGCCACATCAGTAAAAATCACAAGAGTCTTTGACATATAAACCAACAGCGTTACATTCTAAATCCCAGGAGTCTTTGACATATAAACCAACAGCGAAGAAATATAGAGACCAAAGGAGTCTTTGACATAAAAGCCAACAGCGTTGAAAATATAAAAAGCAGGTACGTCAGTTCTGGCCGGGCACTGATGTCACATCCACTTGGTGCGGTCTTGTTTGATGAGGCACACCAAGGGACCCTCATCCCCCTCCGTACTTTTGAAAAATAGAAGTTTTACATCTATTCAGATATTACACACACACGTGTATATATATATACACATATATACACATCCGGAGCGACCCTACACCCACCTTGTTGTGGCGGTCAATCTCCTCTTTGAGGTCTTGAACCTCACAGCACCGAAAAATCGAAACTCAAGGTCCAACACGTAGATCAGGTCCCCAATCGGACTCCTCCCACTCAGCAAACATCCCACCTGGTTGTGGTACATCTCCAGCTCAGCAGCCATTTGCTTCATATGGCCAGTCTTTTCCTTCAAGTTTTGGCTATACCTGGCACAACAAAACTCCTCCAAGGAAGCTCTGGGGGTGCTGAAAAATCATCCCCACAGACATGTTGCATGGCTGGGCGCACCAAGCAAGCTGCTCCGCCACCTCTGGGCCGGGTTGCCTGTGGAGATCCCAAGGAGATGAAAGTTGCGTGATTTGATGACCACAAAATGCTTTGGCATATCAAACGACACCTAAAGATTGGCCGCCAAGCCAGTTGCAGATTGGTGTGTTAGCAAATACTTTAGAAGCCCAGGTGTAAATGTTGATTTCGCACACCAACATCTGCTCCGCAAATCAAATTTATAGATAGAAGCCCAGCCTTGCAATGATGTTTTTGAGCTGCACATAGAGTTTTTCTTTTTCTTGAATCAGGGCATCCTTCTCCACAACCTGCAGGGGTAACAGGTGGTCAGCACATGATGTGTACCGACAACGTTGCTTACCCTTGCCAATGGACATGATTCTGTCAGGCTTCCATATCATGGTTTTCCTGATGACTAGCAACCAAAGTCCGCGACATGTCTGGAATTGTACCTACATGCACATTGTAGTGTTTACATATACTGTACATATACTGTACATATACTGTACATATACTGTACATATACTGTACATATACTGTACATATATACATTTACACATAGTACATATTCAATACAAATAGGTATATTATCTCGTCTGTTATCATATAGAGAATCACATAGGGTATCCCAAGCATCCCAAGCTGGTGGTTGAAAAACACTCGACCTCCTCCGTCTTTGAGATGAGGAGCTTCTGCAAGGCCTTCACCTGAAATGTGGGGAAAATCAAACATTTTGAAGGAAAAGAAACACTATATTCCCTGTTAACGTGGCATATGAATGGAATAATATACTTATATATATATCATCCCATTTTGGGATGAAGCCTTTTCGGAAAAAATTGGGGATCCAAGATGATCGTTCAGGTGTGCACTGATGAGAAGAAAAAATTATGTGATACCACCAGCCAGTACTTGTCCAGTTCTGGAAGATTCCATTGAGTCAACCGGGATCAAATAGAGAATTCTTAGTTCATTGGGATATATCACCAGAGTTTCCGGGGTTCCATCCCAACTTATGGTGGTTATTACCATGGTTATAACCATTGGCATAATCCTGGGTTTGCCCCATTCGCCTTCTGGATCATCTGGTACGTCGCCGGGTCGGAGGACTGGCGCAAGTTGGAGCTACCAATCTCTATGGCTCAAGAATCATCAACCCCCAAAAAGAACTTGGGATAAAATATCATATAGATCCAGATAGTAACGCCCTAAAAGATAGAAAAGTGAATCTTCACTAATTAAATAGTGATTCACTTTTCTACCTTTTTGGGGTACAAAATTGCACCATGGTAGCAGTGGTACCCAAAAATTGCAAATCTGTACAGCCCTGCAGCGCACCTCGAGTTCTCTCCATCGGTGAACGTTCATGGGATTCTCCAGCTCTTCCTGCAAAGCCTTCGCCTTGGTCTCCTGAAGAGGGCATGGTGGCTGCTTAGTGTCCCCATCCCAAGACATCCCAAGAATCCATCTATCTATTCATCTATCTAAGATACCCACGCACAGTACATTTCATTGCATTACGTTACGTTACGTTACGTTATGTTGTTTTTCCTTATGTTACATTACATATATACGTGCACTCGTGCAGTATGGCTCAAAATATGAAAAAATGGGAAGCAAAGCTTCTCTCGCATCAAGACACAGGTGGAATCCAACCAGCAAGTGGTGCGTTCCCTGGTGATCCTCTCGTAACAAGGTCTTGTTCAGGAAATGAATCTCTTGCTTCAACGTCTCCACATTTGTGACCTTCATCCAACAGGCTGCAGGTTCGAGAGGTCAACTTCCAACAATTGTTTCAGAGGAAACCTCTTGTTTTGAGGTTGAACAATGGTTTCCTGCTAATTGTCCCTCAAATCAATCCAATGACAGCTGCAGCATGACATGTGAGGGTCATTGATGCGCAGCCTGCAGCTTGGCTTGCGCCACTTCACCCTGGCACAAAAGGTCACTGGTGAAGTGTTTGGCACGGTTCGTTCTGCTAGTGCTGTGGACAAACTAGGGTCATGTCCAGTTACTCAGAATCATGTGTATATACAATGTGTGTACATGTATATATACATATATACTGTGTATATATATATGTGAGAGAGTGTGTGTGTGTGAGTGTGTGTGTGTGTGAGTGTGTGTGGGATATACATACAGTAATATGTATGTGTGTACTCATTATATATATATAATTATATATATGTTGAGAATGTGTTTATATGTGTGTACTTTGCGAGCTGTGTGACAACCAAAACCACCATACGTACACCATAGGTACCCGCAGACTGACTCAATCCACAGCAACAGATCCTGCTGGGCCTTGCACGCTCTGATCTCCGCTCGGAGTCTTGCTACTTCTTTGAGCCGATCCTGGTACCTACAGAACCAAAAAGCGTTTTATTTTGCATCGGTTTTGTTTTGGCTGCCAACTTTTTGGTGAAACCTGGCTTTTCAAATGAAGTTCAAACTTCAGCAAGTACAGAATTCAGCAACAAGGGCACTGGATCTCACCCTTCTGCAATGTGCTTTGCTGGATCTTGATCTTCTCATACAAGGTGGCTAGCTCCTGGCCAAACATGCTGTACGGGGAATTCACCACCAATTGAGCAATGAAATATATTTTATCCCTATCCATCCCATTGTCCGGTTGGTTTCTTGACAATCCCTGTCAAACCATGGTGCAACCAACATTCCGAGATGTCTAAGTACTGGCTCAATTATGATACGTTTGTTATAATCAAAATACCCTATGTATATATATATATGGTTGTACTATCATTAGCCCATACTATATTGGTAGTCATGCTGTGATTTATCATACCTCATAATCCTGTCTGTGTTGCAACATTACCATTTATTACCCCAAAAAGAACTGAAAAAGTCACTATGATTTGATTTTCTGAAGGAAATGTTATTCTGCGGAAAAGTGACATGATCTAACCACCTAAATGAATATACAATATACATCAATATACCATAAATTCCCCTGCTCCTCGTTGCGCCGGATCAGCTGGGCACCCAAGATGTCGCGCTCGCCGACAACGCCCTCAAGCTCCTGTATGTTGAACACGACTCTGTGAAGGTCCGGATGGCTCAGGATGAAATCGCCACCATCAAACTGGTGAAATCCCTGGTTCCATGTTCGAATCTTCATGTTTGATAGTGAGATCAATTGAAATCCGTTCATTCTGAAGGGAAAATTCCAAGACTGACACAAACTGGTTCAGATGTTGTAGCTCACTAACTATCCCTTCTGTATTCAGGCGCCTTGAGTTGCGCTTGCCGTTCTTGTTCTGCTTCTTGAATGGTGCTCTCCAGCTTCTTCAGCTGCGCACGCCTGAGATTGATAGAGTCTAAACGGGAACTCCAGGCATCTCCAGGCCAGCAAGACAGTAGACTCAGTAGACTCTTTGAGGCATACGACATTCAAAGTGCTACAACAATGTGGCTGATGCAATTCAGCAAGCTGGCAATCTTCACCAAAAGTAGTGTCCGCATCGCAATGAAGCTTTCAATACCAAGATAAGGTGTCCAAAATACATTAACAACAGCCATCGCAGCCATGGGGCTGTGTTTCAACGATGTTGGTCAAGCTCTTCAGCCTCCGCTGTGCCAGAGAATGGACCGACTACAGCCGAAAAAAAATGGCTGGCTCCGGCTAAAATGTCCTGAAAAGCGAGGCTGTGACACAAAAATGTCCTGCAAGCTACAGCAAACCGGACATTGAAAAAAGGCACCTTCGCTGGGCTCTCTCCTTCGCATCTTTCAGCTTCTCATTGTGCTTCAGCAACTGCAAAAGCATCCCGATGTCACAATACATGTTTTAATAGTTGTAATTGGAAATGACAAAAGACTCTTGACGCGTTTGCAGCAGCTGGAAAGCATTCAGATCATTCAGGAGTGGCAACTTCATCCCGAATGTGTCTGAATGTCAGGTTGCATTTTGTTAACTGTAAACGTAAACTTATGCAGCACATTCCAACGGGGAAGTCAAAACAACAAAGCCGACTCTTGCAAGACGAATGTGCCACTCCGATGGGTAGATCCAGATGCCTCCTTGTGCTCAAAATGCCCGCGGACTAACTTGCTGTCCTGGAGTCACAAGAAGATAAAAAAAATCCAGACATGCTTCAAATTGCTGCAAGAAAATGACATCCCGGCCTTTTCTCGGAATTCTTCTTTGAGTGCTGTTGTCTGGTGAGATCTGCCACAAAAAAAGGTCTTCAAACTGCAAGCTCATCGCAGCAACTTGTCAAGCCGCTTGACATGGAGGAGAGTTCCAGGGCTGCCCGCACCCTCCCGTCTCTGGAAGAAGATCAAACTGCAGTGAGATATTGTTTCGTCCAAGAATACAGTAGCCTAAAATCCAGTGGTTTATCATAATTTTATGTTCCCTATCAAAGTGGCCATCTATTTGAGTGTACCCAGTTTCCGGACAAACCAGTGTGTTCAATCTTGCCGGCAGCTCATAATCTTGAACTTTCTATTCATTTCCTGAGCTTCACACAATGCCCAAAATACTAGTTTTTTTTTCGCCCATCAATTGCAAGTCGATGAGTCTTTGGAGATGCAATGACATCCACCAGGCCCATGTCCAAACCAATTTCAGGGAGTGCATCATCTAGATGGTCGTATCAAACAGTCACAAACACTGAGTCAAAATTTCAAGCACTTCAAAATCCCGCTGATAGCTAGGGCAACCAAGACTCATTGATCTCTTCGTTAGATTCCACCAAACTCTTTGCCTGCATGTTCCTGCACCAGAATTTCATACCCAAATGGACTGGAATCAAAGGCTCTGAAAAGCTGGAGGCTGACCAAGCTGGCTGTTGGCCTATCCATGCAGACATTGTCGTAGAGGTTCTTCTGCTGGTTCAGCTTTGCCTATTGCGATCTTTCTGCCAGAGTTGATCACCCCAAGTACTCAGTTATCATCCCAATTTGGGATATAAGATATAAGTCCACTTACAAACAGATCTTGGATGATTTTGTTGCCACAACACTCCAAAGCATTGGGTGCTGTATATATTTCTATATACCGTGTATATATATATACAGTATTTACTACATATTACAAATACTGAAAGATTTGCCATCATAGTAATTATAAATATTATAACCAGCTGTACATTGGATGTCAAAACTGGACAGGGCTTTGGCTCAGCTCAGCGAAACACCTCTGCGTTGGCGATCTGCTTTTTTAGTTCAGTCAGGGTGGAACCACCTCAGCGGCTACCGTGTCTTGAACGCCCAAAAAATATCAAAAAATATAGTAATCCAAAACAAGTGTATATACTTTGATAGCATCATCCCAGGGACAACTCACACCAGGTGATTAATGGTGACTGAAGGGTACGTCCTAAAAACATTACTCTCCTCTCAAAAGAAAAACAGAGTCTGTGCTTGGGCGGAACTTTCAGAGAAGCTTCTAGGTCCAAAACGGTTCTTAAGTTCTTCTTTGCAGGCGAAGTATTTGGCGTTCGCCTTACACAGCAAGATGCAAGGACCATGTTCGCCAAATGGACCAATGAGCTCATCTGGCCTGGGAGAGCTCTATCCCATACTTCTCGCGCTGCTTTTGAAGCTCCAAGATCCGTTTTTGGAAGTCAAGGGCATCCTGGCCATTGCAGAAACTGTGTGAAAAATCTCAAGATGACCCACAGGGATGTCAATTCTTAGACACGGCGTTGGAGTGAAGAGTGGGAAATTGAAAGAACTCGCACTTGAGGTTGCTTGCGGCAGCCATTCCAACGTTGCTGACCTGCTTCCACCGGGTGATATCCTTCTGCAGGTTCATAGCTTGCGTTTCCTGACAAGGGATTAGCATGTAAGCCCCAGCCAGCCAAAACTGTGCTTTTCATATGCGTTTCCTTTCCACGATTGATCCTTCCTGACACCCAAGAACATGCTGTGGTGTCTCTGTGTAAGGCGCGGGTCTAAGGCACGTCTTTGGCCATAAAACGGTAAAACTGTACAATGGTAAATTCCATTGTTCCCGAGAAACGCCCCGTAAAACGGTAAATTCGTAAATTTACGATCTGAGCGTGCTGCTTTCGGAGCATAAAGCGGGAAATTTGGTAGATTTGCAAAATTTACCGTAAACTAAATTTACCGTAAACCGTAAACCCGTAAGACCGTAAATTGGTAAATTGGTAAATTTGGTGCGCTAAGCAAACATGTAGTTTCCCACATTTCAAGGGGATAAGTGCATTGCCATAAAATGGTAAATACGTAAAGGCGTAATGATGCGTAATGTATCAATGTACTACAGCGTGAGGAGGAAGAGGCGTAAAACCGTAAAACGGTAAATTCGAAAAGTTGTATCATGATACTACGATATTAAAAATTACAGATTTACCGATTTACCCAATTTACCTTTGCCTGGACACAGCAAAATTTACCACTTGACCGATTTACCCCATTTACCATGGCCTGAAGAGCGGTGAATTTACCAACTTACCGATTTACCAAATCTAACCGCAGGAAACCGAAGTCAAGCCGTAAATTGGTAAATTCATGTTCTGTGTGCAAAGCGTGGGCAGGAAAAGGTAGTAAAGCCGTAAAAGCGTAAAACCGTAAAGGAGGTGTGGAAGCGAAGGAAACCAAAGTAAAACCGTAAAGTGGTAAATTTGCGTTTTTTTCGTGGACAGTATGCGTAAAGGCGTAATGTATCAATGTACTGGAGCGTGAGGAGGAAGAGGCGGTAAAACCGCAAAAGATTAAAATTTACAGATTTACCGAATCCACCTTTGCCCGGATACAGCAAAATTTACAACTTTACCGATTTACCCTATTTACCATGGCCCGAAGAGGGGCGAAATTTAAAAATTTACCAATTTACCAAATTTACCATTGCCCGGAGAGTGTTCTCTCCTTAGCATCATGCCTTACACAGTGACGGCTTAGAGAACTTTCACAGACTGCTGTCACTTCTGTCAGCAGGCCTGACGCTTCACCAAGTCAATCTGTTTCTTGGTGCGCTCATCTGCTTTCACCACGTTTTTGTTCAGGATATCGCGCTCGCGAAGCAAGTCCTCTGTTGTGACAGACTGGCAGCTTTTTGACCGTCATAATATATGTATACATCTATTATGTATATTATATATATTATACCAATATATATATATTATATACCAATATATAATATATATATATATGCGCGCAACGCCTGGGCTTTGCCCCAGCGTTGCAGCGTAGAGGGTCCCCATTCCCATTCACATTCAATTGGGAAGATCAACAAAGGTATTAGTTAGGGAATATTAAACTCCCACCCCCGCTAAATTTTACATTCAATTGGGAAGATCAACAAAGGTATTAGTATTAAAGTCCCACCCCCGTTAAACTACATTCAATTGGGAAGATCAACAAAGGTATTAGGGAATATTAAAATCCCACCCCGGTTAAATTTTACATTCAATTGGGAAGATCAACAAAGTTGTTTCAGGGAATATTTACTCCCGTCGTCGTTGCGGTTCGGGGCAAAGCCCAGGCATTTGCCGTGTATATATATATATACATATGTCTTGGCAAGATTTGGCATTGCATGGGTGTGGATCAAAACTCAAAACCCGGGCGACAACAAATTTGCTGTCGTGCGTACCCACTATCCCAGTTTGAAGTAACCCATTCCAACCCCTACCCATTTTTCACCAACAAAGCCTCATGACCTCATGCAAGAGACCCAGACGCAGACTAGGTACCTCGATCTTCTTTCGATCAACATCTGCATCTCGCTTCAACGACTCGGCCGCTTCCTACAAGATGTCACTAATGAGGGAGAAAACAGATACATACATCTTGCTGAATCATCCAGTGCAAAAGAAATCTCTTGCAACTATTGTGTGTGTGCGCTACTGTAATAATTGAATGCCACGCATCATAATTCGCGACAAGACATTGGGTGCATCAGAAGTTGTGTACAAGGAAAAGTCCTGACCAGACTTGACCTCGCTCTTCAGCTCGTTGCGTTTCCCTGCAAGCTCTGGACTTCACCCGAAGAAAGAACTGGAACCCATCACGAGGATGCCCCTTTTCACATGAAACGTGCACCACAACAAAAATTATCCAAGTTTCAAAAAGAACGACGGCTCCAAACCACGGTTGCCTTCTGCCTTTTGTCTCTCATCTTCTGCTTGTTTGTCCTTCTTTTTCAAGGCCTGACTCTGCACCAGTGTGAAGCAAGTTGAAACGTGCCAGTGTTGGAAGGTGGCGACATACCATATGGTTCCCAACAACATCCAACAACTATCAGGGTGTCAATGTCAGAGAATCTGCCGGCCAGCCGGCGTGTTTTGTGGGTGTTCTTGTGATACATCTTGTGATAGCTTCAGCTTCACCTATAGATTGCTCCTTTGACGGATTTTTGTCTTCGCTGCCCTACTCCCCCCCGCCCTCCACATATTCACTATAGTCTAGTATAGTTTCGTATCCTCTAATCTAGTCTCGTCTAAGTCTTGTCTCGTCTAAGTCTCCTCTTTCTTAAGCGAACTCCCACTGACCTTGTTTATATTTACATACTCATCGTCTTGGTGGTCATTTTCATCGTCATCATCCTCATCCTCATCATCATCATCATCATCACCATCATGATCATCATCATAATCATCATCATCATCATCAGCAGCATCATCATCATCATCATCACCATCATCGTCATCCTCATCATCATCATCATCATCATCATCATCATCCTCCTCCTCCTCGTCCTCGTCCTCGTCCTCGTCCTCGTCGTCGTCCTCATCCTCGTCCTCGTCCTCGTCCTCGTCGTCGTCGTCCTCGTCGTCCTCGTCCTCCTCGTCGTCCTCGTCGTCCTCGTCGTCCTCGTCGTCCTCGTCGTCCTCGTCGTCCTCGTTGTCCTCGTCGTCCTCGTCGTCATCACCATCATCTTCTTCTTCTTCTTCTCCTTCTTCTTCTCCTTCTCCTTCTCCTTCTTCTTCTTCTCCTTCTCCTTCTCCTTCTCCTCCTTCTGCTTCTTCTGCTTCTTCTGCTTCTTCTTCTTCTTCTTCGTCTTCTGTCCTCTTCCTTCCTCCTCCTTCATCCTCCCATGTCCGTCTTCTCTTTCGTTCCTCCGGCTCACCCCTGGGATGCGGTATTTTTCCACGTTTTCTCCACGGTTTCCTGCCCCTTCCAAGCAGACGTACGTTCCAGCTTTTACACACACACAAACACTTTTTTACACCAAGCACTTTTTGCAAAAAAAACACCTTACACCAAGCAGCTTTTACACAAATCCGCTTTTACACAAACTCGCTTTTGCACAAACAACCTTTTACATCAACCAGCTTTTACACAAACGCGCTTTTACACACTACGCACACCAAGTTTTCGACCAACCAACTTTTAGACAAACCACCTTTTAAGCAAACCACCTTTTACACCACCCAGCTTTACACAACCGCTGCTTTGGGCCTGTAGGCCAAAGGCCAGAGGGCCGGCGGAATGGCAGAGGCTGTTAAATAGGGAGGGTACCCATCCTACATCGTTCAAATTCTGTGAATTGGGGCCCGTCCCTATAATTGGACAAACAATCAGCTCCAGTCGGACCTCGTGGAGCTTGACCAGTTTGTTCTTTTCTCGTTTATGTCGCTGAAGTTCATCCCTGCACCAAGGCGATACAACAAATAGCCGCTTCCACTGGTTAGAAGCTGGAAAACTGTCGGCCTGCGATTCTTAATAAGCTGTTCTTTTCCCTGATTTTCCTGCAGCCGGCTTCAGATCTGAAAGTTTGCTGGTGTTGAAGAAAGCAGCGATCAATGATTGAATGGCATTTTTTTGCTTGCTTGGCTTGACCCAAAAAGTGTGGCACACCAAATTTCAAATATCAGAAACTCTGAATACAATGATTGTTCTATGACACATCATGGGCACGCTGCACATTACTGCAGCTATGCACAAGCAAGGCTGCCTTCTTTTTTAAGTGCACTGCTGAAACGCCATTGAACTCAAGTTACGCTGGTCAAGGTCAATATCATCAACAGTCGCTTGCCATGTGCTGACATGGTGTGTTCATTGAAAGCAGGGCTTCTTTGTCCTGGACTACCTTCTCATTCTTCAAAGTCTCCTGTATGTCACAGGCGGACTTGAAACATTCAGCGGACTGACTGGAGATTTCTGGTCACTTGGGATGCTTCATGCAAAGGTAGGGTTTGACAGCAACCACTTGAGCATTGTTTCAAAATGTTTCAAACATGTGCTGCAATAAGATCAAATACAGTAAGAAGAAAGAGGATCAAAGAGGATCAAAGAGGGTTGTCTGCCTGCTGCAGCTTTTCTTCAAGCTTTCGCTTCTCATCCATACGCTGCTGTACCCGCCTCACATCATGAGGATGCACTATTTGTTGAAGCGACAACTCAAACCATACTGAGAGGGAATGTGACAACATTTGCCCACTTCAGCTCAAGTATCACAGCAACTTGGCACGAATACACAGCTTTCTCGATGTCTTGCCTTTCTAATCGCTCCTCTTCTTTGTCAGTGTCTGCCACAGCCTGACGTTTTAAAAAAGTTCAGTCCTAGGGGCCCGCAGATTTCAGTCAACTTTTACAAATACCATTCTATTGCAACTATATACTATATACCGATACCCAAGTTTGACTCATAGCCTCTTGTATTCTGTTTCAATTTTCCCTGCATTCATGCACTGCAGCCAGCCTGCTGGATTTTCCGCAGCTCCGCCTGCTCTTGGGCGATATTCCTGGACAACCAACCCTGCCAACAAGCCTAAGTTGGTCTGAAAATAACGAACCCCCCAATCTGATGGCTGGTCATGTTCCCAATTCACATGGCAATTTGGAGGTATCCCGGTATCCCCTTTTTCGGACAAACCCCAATAATTCAGAAGCATGAAAATTCCTCAAGCATCTCAAGCCAACCTCCTGGCTGCTGCTAACTCTTCTTGCTTCTGGTCGTTCTCTTCTCTCAGGTCCTGCCAAGATGGCACCGCAGTGTGTCCTTTTGGATCTGGGATGTCGCAATCCTTGGAAGTGAACGATGCAATGTTGGGTTTGGAGTGGGACATACATCCCGCACTGTTTCTTGTCAGACATATTTCAGACAATTGATCCTTCATCTTCTGTTCCAGCGTCTCTTTCTCCCGCTTCGCAGTTTCCACCTGAAGCGTTGACTGATTGTGTTTGGAGCAAACAGACCTGAAACAGGTGGACCATTCATATGCTTTGAGGATTGCATGGACCCTTCTCTGTCGCCTCTCCACGCTTCTCGCCTATTTGGTCCTTCAACAATAGAATCTGAGCCTGGTCAAGTTCAGCAATCAAAAGGTATCTTCCAAGCTCACACATTGTGCAGGAGGTCCAGAGATGTTTTTTTTCAAGAAATTGGCGTTGTTGGACCACTTTCAGTATCAAAGAAACCTGTCATTCATACTATCAACCGAAGCTGACCTGCTCTTTGTCGGACCTTAAGTCTGTCTTGAAAGAGTGTCCCAGAAGTTTCGGTGCAGAATGCAAGTGCCTCTGCTCCCGCTAAATCCTTTTCAAGCCGCTGCACTTCATCAAAACGGCCTTGTGTGATCCTGCAAGACCATAAAAATTCAAAGGCATCACGTTCATCTCAGTAGAACACTCCAATGCGAAGATGTATTCGCAGTGCTGATGGCAATATCAGGAGCAAACAAGAGGACACGGTTTGCAAGCTACCTCTGCAGCATTTCAGTGTTTTGCTTCAAAAGATCCCGGTCTTTTTCGAGCTGCTCCTAACAAAGCGGAAAAAAACACCAGTGCTTTCGCAATGCTGGTCCAGTCTAGTCTCCGTTTCCAGTATGCTCAGTATATAATGCTCTTGAAGTAGTTCTTCACAGCATCAAACGAAAGACTCTTGTAACATGCGCCACAGACACAAACGGAGAGACAGGAGCCTTCTGCCCAATGAGCTGGTTCAACCTGCGAACAAAACGCCAAATTTCAGGCCAACCCTGTAGTCTGAGTTTTCAGTTCCTGCACGGACTGCATTTCTGGGGCCACCGGCTGAAACTCCTGCTCCTCAGACATTCCAGCTCCTTGTTCTATCCTGGATGAATCATTGTTGATTCACTTTTCTTTCCAAGCTCGGGATTGGATTGAAATATCTCAGAGTAAGATCTGATGAATATTTCTTTTGCACTGCCGGCCTTGACACCAAGTCTTCAATTTCGGCCTTTCGCTTGCTGATGGTCTCTTTTGCCTGAAGGGCAGAGTTGGACACCCTGAACGTGCTATGATTTTACTTCGTGGCGTGGCGTGTCTTGGCCTGGCCTGCTCCTCTTTTCTATTGGCCTCCTCCACGAGTTTCTGCTTGGCGTCGATCTCTTGCCTGCCGGCAACCATCAAATAGAGAAGTGGAAAGCCAAAAACGATGTTGTTTGAGCAGTGAAAACAAGGTCACACGCCGCCTGTAACGGCCCTGCTGTTTTTTCACCTTTTCATTCGGAGATTTTTGTGTCGTTCGCAACCCTCACAGCGTTTTCTTGGTCTGCCCATTTGTTCAGTAGCTCATTTTGGTCTGCGTTTTACAGTGTTTTGTGTCTGTTAAGTCGTAATTCCAATGCGTTTAATCATGAATTTGAATTCCTAAACGCAAAAAAACTGGAATCTTTCTTAACAAGCGTGTAGACATGCGACATGCGACATGGAGAACAGCTCAGGCAGTCCAAGAGACATGTTGCAGCGTAGCATCAAGAACGTCTGGCAAGAGACAAGAGACATGTTGCAGCGTAGCATCAAGAGCGTCTGGCCAGTGACAGGAGACATGTTGCAGTGTAGCATCAAGAGCGTCTGGCAAGTGACAAGAGACATGTTGCAGCGTAGCATCAAAAGCGTCTGGCAAGTGACAAGAGACATGTTGCAGCATATCATGAAGAGACTGCAGTGTTGCAGCGTAGCATCAAGAGCGTCTGGCATGTTACAGTGTACCCCTTGCCCCCCCCCCCACCCCCCCCACCTCCCCACCCCACCCGGTTCCCCAAAAAAAAACACTATCCTTCGTGCACAAGTTCTAACTAACGGGCAAAATTTCTAACGGGGAAAACTTCAAACTGACGGGCAAAACTTCTAACTGACGGGCAAAACTTCTAACTGACGGGCAAAACTTCTAACTGACGGGCAAAACTTCTAACTGACGGGCAATACTTCTAACTAACGGGCAAAACTTCTAACTGACGGGCGAAACTTCTAACTGACGGGCAATACTTCTAACTAACGGGCAAAACTTCTAACTAACGGGCAAAACTTCTAACTGACGGGCGAAACTTCTAGCTGACGGGCAATACTTCTAACTAACGGGCAAAACTTCTAACTAACGAGCAAAACTTCTAACTAACGGGCAAAACTTTTAACTAACGGGCAAAGCGCCACCAAGAAAAATTGCAGTGACGTGAACAAGCCTGACAGGGCACAGCAAAAAGTGTCATATTCCCCAGGGCCGGTAGGGGCGTCGTGAGCGAAAACAACTGAGAGAGAAACATGTGTTTTTTCTCATTAAACAATGTAAATGTTGACATGTCTCCGACATGTCCTTCCTCATCAGAACCAAAAAAAGTATGTGGCAAACCAATCCCAAGCCTGAGGGTCGCAATCTGCTGCTGATCTTCCGCTGCTGTTTTGAGTGCAGTTTGCACATTTTGTGCCTGCAAAGCAGAATTGTTTATTGCCCTTGCGATTTTGATATGCATATATCACCTTAGGATGGTCATCAGACTCTGACACTCTGTTATCATGAGTTGCATTTTGGAGCCTTCACCCTTTCAGCTGCAAGTGGTCTTGGACTTGATAATTCTCTGGGTTTCCTTTACCAAGTTGCCAGTCTCAGGTCCTGGCACTGGTGCTGATCTCAGAGTTCAGATCTCGGATCTTCTTGGTCAGTCGCCTTGGCCCAGCTTCCCGGCCCAACTTCCCGGCCATACTTGCAGCCTTGATCCTCGGAAGTAAGCCTTCGGCTTTTCAGCTTCATGAGAACGCATCAGAGCCTCCAAAGAAAAGAATGAAAATATTTTGTGATGAACCTAGACTAGTCACTCTTCGTGAAATTGTTTAAAATTTGGAATCCAAACCTCCAACGCCGGACGAAAAGATTCGTATGAAAACTCAGTTTACTGATCCAGGCAATTGGTAGGGTGCGAAATCTGTGCTTTGTTACGTCACATCAACAACAACTTGGTGGTTTGTTGAATATTGTAAACTTATAAGCAAAAAAACAAATATGATCATTATAATTATATATATAGAGAGAGAGAGATAGCATATGGGAAAACCAGGGTTTTCCATGTCGTTGAGCAAGTTGAGACTGCCCAAGGTGTGCTGGTTGAAATTTGTCAATTGCACGTTGTTTGTTGATATTCGCTGGGGACAGATTGTGACTAGGAAAAAAAAAACATGAGATAGTACAGGTTTCAGCGAATTGAAAATTGGCAACATGTGGGGCAATGGCCAAACATGATCCAAGAATGATACGTATGCAATTATGACATGACACTATTTGTTGGATGAAATTGGGTTGGAAATACAGAGTTCCGTAAAAACATACCAAGGCGTGTACCATCTCTCCAGGATGAACCGAAATTTGGTCATTCCAGGAAATAACATTTTAAAAAAAAATGACGCCAACATCGGTCAAGAAAACGTTGCATTTGATTATTTGTGGAACATCTACCAATCTGTTTAGATTGGCGTTCAAGTACAATATTCATCATTTTCAATTTTTTCACGTAGTCCGACCCCCATGGTTCCAAATGCCGTTCACGAAGTAAACACACATCACGTGCCTTGTACAGTTTCTCGTACTCAAGCCGGAAAGGACTTGGGAAATTCACATTCAGAAATGTTCATGTAATGACTGCCAATTCATTTTTTGACCCGCTTGAATCGAAGGGGGAATGTATTAAAATTGTGAACCTTGTGTTCACCTTGATGTAAGTGCGGAACTCGACAATGTCCTTCTTTTTGCCAGTGAGTTCGATCACTGTGTCCTGGACACGTCATTTTTTTCATCAAATGTCCATAACAAAACCATCTGTTTTTTTTTAATGTTGTATTTTCCTGGTAGTCTTTCTGCAAGGCTTCCATGGCTGAGCCGCCTCAGACACAGTGCAACCACATTTTTGATTGAATAGTGACGGCTCTCTCGGTATTGGCATGGCAATCTGAGAGATGGTACTGTCTGGAGAAGCCATGGCTGAATGACACTGCAAAGCAAAACCCCGTTGTGAGCAAAATCCTGGTTTTGTTGTCTGTCCAAGGTCGAAATCAAACACCACGGCGTTTGACCTGGTCACCATTACTGCAAAGCAAATATGATGATGTTTCCGTGCACATTGTCAACAAAACATGCCCCAGCATAAAGGTTTTTCCTTGCAAACGAGGCTTACGATTTTCCAGAACAAAAATGATATGTTGATATGTTAACCTCCTGCAGAACCAAATGGCCAAAATGATCGCCAACTCCCACATCATGCAGACTTGTGGCAAACGCGTATGGTCACCGACTGACTTATGGAGGAAAAAAAACTAAGTTAGACAGAAGGTCGCTTGTTTCCAGTTTTGTTCCATAATTAGGTTTTCCAAGAAAGGGTTCAAAATTTCCCGTGATCCGATTTTTCCATAATTTTTGGACGGAACCAAGATTTTCCATAATTGATTATATATTCGTGTGTAAGCAGGGGGAGCAAATTAATCCGTTTTTTTCCATAATTATTCAAGGACTCATGCAACAACCTTCCATTTGTTTTCCACCACTGCGCGTTGTAGCTTGTAGTGGTGACTGTGCTGAAAGCAGTTGTTAGTCACTGCAGCAGCATGGTCACAAAAGAAACACCAGAGCGTGGCGACAGGTGGAGATGGGGATGGTGGTGGGAGCACTTGAGAATGGAAATATGCAGCAATCGTTCTTACCAAGTCAAGGACTCATGCAGCAGCCTTCCATTTGTTTTCCACCACTGCGTGTTGTAGTTTGTAGTGGTGACTGTGCTGAAAGCAGTTGTTAGTCACTGCAGCATCCTACCCCAACCTGAACTTTACAATTCGTCAGCCAACGCTCTGGAAACTAGACGCCGGATGGCCCGAGAGCGTAGAAGAGCAGGGTCTTCTCTTGTTATTATGGAGACACCATATGACAAAACAATATATTAAAGATGTATTATAGGCAGACAAGAAGAGGAGTATCAAGACAATATAGCACAAGTACACGACAATAGTTTGTTCTATTTAATTCACTTCCCTCACAAATCAATGGGCTACTCAAGCAGGCTCTTCCTTTTTCCGGTGCTGTTGATTTGTCTGTTTTGGATGCCATTTCTGCATCCTTTCAAGCAACAAAGTTTTATGGATCCAATCGACCGATCCATCAGAAAATCGAGGTGATTAAGCCCAATGGAGATCACAAGCAGTGAAGAACCAAGCAGCAGCAACAAAATATCAAATAGTGATCATCTGATGACAAGGGCTAGATATACTGGAGATGGCCATTTCGGACGCTCAGCACTTTCAAGAACCCTGGAAGGAAGTCTGAGGTTGAAAAGGAGGACCAAACAGGACAAGTGAAAGAGAATTGAAAATCATCAACAAGACTCCCGTTTCAGGCTCGAAGAAAGCGCTGAAGTGAAACTGAGTTTGCGAAATCCCCACTCCTCAAGGTGAATGGAATAGAGAAAACCGATTGCGAATAAACCCCATTCCACAATGAAAGCGAACAGAAACAGAATAACATGAATAAAAAAGTAGTTAAGGTTGAGGGAGGGTGGGTAAAATTCAAGACCAAAGCAATTGATGTTGTGAGTGAAGTGCTTGAACCAGCGTTGCGGGGTTGATTAAATAAAACATCCATGAACAAGTACATGAAAAGTTCTATTTAATTCACTTCCCTCACAAATCAATGGGCTACTCAAGCAGGCTCTTCCTTTTTCCGGTGCTGTTGATTTGTCTGTTTTGGATGCCATTTCTGCATCCTTTCAAGCAACAAAGTTTTATGGATCCAATCGACCAAATGAAACTATAAAACGGTGTTGGTTTGAAACGCATAATTAAAATCCGCCCGCACCGAAGGTGCTGGGGCGTGATCTTCCGGATGGCACTCGTAAAAGGTTACAGGTTTACCTGGGGGGGGGGTGCCCCATTTTTCGGCCAAAACCTCCTGTTTTTGATAGGTCGTGACGCTCGCCTTCAAAAAACACTGTAAAAAACAGTACGGAAGACACCTGTTCGTGAACGCGCCCGTCCAAAATCGGCAAGCGAAAAGTGAAAAAACCCCGTGTTTTTCAACTTTTTGACCTCAATTTTTTGGTTTGCAACATCTTTTTTTGCGGTTCCGCAGGTGGCCGGGCCCGGAGGCGGATTTTTGAGTTTTTGGACCCGTTTTCGGACTGATTTTCGTCGTTTTGTGATAGCAGAAACACTGGTTTTTACAGTGTTTTTCTGTTTTCTGCATGCTTGACGGCTAGCTTCAAAACTTCCAAAAACCTCGTAAATTACGCTGTTTTATGTTACGGTGTGAATGAAAACATCGTAAATACCAGTGTTTTTTGACGTTGGTTAAAAAAACACTGTAAATTACAGTGTTTTTGGCCACCTGACCCTCAAAAACCATGGTATTTGCAGTGGTTTCTGCTTCTCACCGCGCAAAAACACTGTAAATAACAGCAATTTCGCCGTTTTTTCATGTTTTTCGTTATTTTTTGAACTGCGTTGGTCCGCTATACATGGCTATCAAATTCTTCGCGTTTTTTTTTCCGACAATCAGTACTTTCGGATGTTTTTGGTCTCAATGGCCGACATCATTGGCAGTTACGAGCGGCTGCCCAACGATGCGGTGCGGGCGGTTGCCGTCGCGAAGCGACGTGAATACCAAACGAAGAGTGGATCAAATCAGCACCGGAAAATTAGGAATTGGGTAGTGACCAAAGAAGTTGAAGATCTGGTGGAACCACGCGCAAGGATGATTTGATCATCCACAAATCAGCTAATGTGAGGTTGACCCGATTGGATGGTGCGAAACCAGGTGGAAGAGGAGATGAAAAGTCTCATCTGCTTAAAAGATCTGCGATCGAATTGTCAATGCCACTGATGTGGGAAGTATCCATATCTACATTTAAATAACTACTGAGTTGGCCAATTTTCTCCAAAAAGAAACAAAGTGGTTCGCTGGTGGTGAAAAGTTGGTTGACACCAGCTTCAGCTGAGGTATTGTCGCTCACAGTTGGCAGTGTCACTCGGAGACGTTGATGAGGATATTGAGAGGCAAATGTGTACAGTAAAGCCATCTGGGCCAGAGTTTCATAGCATGCGATGTCTTTTTGAGCTTCAGATCTCATGGGGAGTCCGAGCTCAATGACTTCTGTAACAGTGAATTGTTCAGAGAACCAAAATTTGTGTTCATCCAATGCAATAAAACCGCCAATTTGAATGTGGATCCCATCGCACAGGCATCGGCTGCTGAAAATCCCGGCCAAATTGGTTTCGGGTACATAGAGCGTAGTGGACATAGGTGCATGATCCAAGTACGAAAAAGCTGAAGGCATCGTACACTAGATTTACTCAAACTTCTTTTGCTGGAATTAGGATTTCGTATCCGTAGCCAGAGTCGACGTTCTGAAAGTCTAATATTTGCCAAATCTGTTTTTGTAGAAACAGGTTGATGTCGAACGGAAACTAAAAGACCATCTTTGGGAATCCCAGTGCCTGGGGGTACAGAAATGAATTGAAGGCTGTCATTCAGGTGTTTCCAAAGGTCTGGCCACATGCCCGGGTCAATGCTATACAGGGAAGCCGGAGATGAAAATAAATCTGCATAAAAGTGTTGAAGTAGAGGTCGCATGCCCGAAAATAACTGAGTTACCCACATTGCCAGGCCAAGGAATCGCTCGATGTCGCGTTTGTGGATGTAGGTCTTTCCAGAGATAGCATCAATCAAGTTGATCAGTTTTTTGCGCTTGGTCGGGTCTAAGGATACCAATCCCGCAGAAAAATTGAATCTCCAACCAATCCATCGCAACTCTTTGGAAATCACTGATTTCTTCCAGCTGATGGGAATATTCATCAGTTGAAAGAAAATACAAATGAATGCTGATGACAGAGGAAGAACTTTCCAGTTTTGCGAAAAGAGGAAGTCATCTACGTAAAGCCACAGGGCGTGCTTGATGTAGATCAGTAAATGCCAGAGGCAGACCAAAAAGCCACCTAAACGTCCCCACCAATGCGCACTGAAGATGGCTCCGAACGGTGCCACTTTATAAAAATATAGGCGACCTGCATGCGAAAATCCTAGTAAGCCTCGTTCAGATTCACGAATGACCACCCTTTTATGGGCTGCCTTAATGTCCAGTGATAGGCCACCCAGTTCGTCATCATTGTCACGGAGGGGGAATGTTCGCAATACATCTTTAGAGGTTGGGAGAGCTTGATGTTCTCTAACCTTACAGGAAGAATTGGTGCCGCAAATTGAGCTGTCAACAACCAGTCGAGGATCTCGTGAGTCTGAGGTCGCAATGCCTAGGCGACCAATAGCGACTCCTGATGGCCAGCGTGTCTGTGCGTCTTCAATTGTGCCATCAAATGGTTCCACCCATCCTTGATTGACTTCTGCTTGGACAAGTTCGTCCGTAAGTTCAGGTCTATCGGAAGAGGAGCGCCAATTATCCATGTGGATACTGAGTGGTTGACGACCTAGGTTGTCGTCATCTGTTTTCGTCGCAAAGCAGTTGGATGGAGGAATATCGTCATTAAATCCAGTAGGGACTCCTGCAATGAGAGAATCAAAAAGACCGGTGTCTTCATCTTCCAGAAATTTTGACAGAGATTGTAAAATATTCAGGTGCATTGGTTGGTGGTCTCGAATTGTCCAATCAGTGTTCAGGTGACGTTCCTGCATCCAATTGACCAGGTGCTGTCGAAAGGGCTCCAGTTCTGTTTCTGAAAAAGGGTGGTTAGGGTCCCCCATATGAAAATGGCAAAGTAGTCGCTTGTGATGGCTATTCTGCAGAATCATGTCGAAAAAGGTTTTTCGAAGGTCTTTGAATGGGTCTGTAAGCGCTGTTCTTGGATAGGACCAATCTGGAAATGAAGATAGGCCACCGCCGTCTTGATAAGCTTGAGGTGGTTCCGACATTGTCTTCTGTGGGAGGCTCTTCATAGCCTCTGAAAAAGTTAACTCTCCCCCAGGTACAGATATGAGAGGGCCAACAATTTTGGCGAAGGCTTCTGCTAGTGCCTTGGGGTATTGTGCCGTCCGTTTGCTTTGAAAATTGCCGTGCTCGTCTCGTGTGCCCACAATGGATTGGTGGGAACCTTGTGGATGATGACATTTACCCCCCATGGAGGAAAGTGCTTCCAAAGTTGTTGCAAGAAGCCACGCTTTATGAATATCCAAATGATATAGACAAGCTGGGAGGTTCACGCAGACTCTGCATGCTTGGATCAAAAAGGCTTGGGCTACTTCTTCCTGCCATGACATCGCATTTGGAGGTTGCTCCAAATGGCCATGGGAACCAGAACTGTACCCCTCTGGATAATTGTAAAAAGCTATCTTGAAGGCGAATCGTCTCCTGCATCGTCAAATCTGGGAGTCCGCCCAAATGATCAGGAGATCTGAGAGGCTTAGGTCCTGGTCCTGGTTTAAGTTTCAAACGAGAATACTCACCGCAACAGGGAGAGCAAGCTATGTATGCTGATTTGCCACATGCACTGAATCGCAGTAGCTGTTCATAGAAATCATCATTGAATATATCCATAAATTTGTCCAGTAAAATGTCCACTCGAAATACTTGGCCTCCATTGGCCAAAATGGCGGAGGCCAGGGGGCTGTCGAAGCCACAGAAAATGTCAGTAAAAATTCGTCCTGGCATTGCAAACGCTGGTTGAAAAAGGGACAATGTTAATGATGAAGGTGATCTTGGAATCGATGCAAATTCTGTTGGATCTTGTGCTGAAAATTGTGCACTCGTCCGTGGAGTCATGTTCTCATCGATTGCGCGTGGAACTACTGAATCATGCAACTGAGAGCTGAACTGCGTAGAATACAGTGTCTGTGAATCATCATTTGATGAAATATTCACTGGTGAAACATCCAGAACTGCAGGAGGTGGTCAATGAGGTGTCGAATTGTGATCCTTTGCGCTATGGTTGCCACCACAAGCGGTGCCATCTGACTTTGGTATGGCACACACGTGTTTGAACCTGCAGTTGGAATTGGAGCAAGTTCCGGATTGATATCGCATACAAATAGAATGAGATGTTCCCTGCATCTGGATTGTTGAAACCCATTTGGGGTTACCACTGCTAGCACCCTTTTTTGATTTGGATTTGCCACGTCCTTTGCCTTTGGTGTTCGAAACCGTGGTGGTTTCTGATGGAAACGGCCTAGGGATAGTCTTTGGTCTTGGTTGGAGAAGGCCAATCATGTCTGAGCGCAAAACTGTAACCTCATGTAAGCTGTCATTAAGGTTCCATCCTTTATCTGTAGTTAGGTCAGCTATGATACCCCATAACATCCGGTCTGCTGCTTGCGCTTCCAGGACTGTGACATGGCGGAGCCCCAGTTCTGAGTCGAGTCGGGTGGAAATCAAGCCTAAGAATTTCAGGTTGTACGCCTTGATGCGACCCAGATGGCAACCCTGAACTAATGCATAAGCCGTGGCATTCAACTCCAGCATATTGCGGATGCCAATATAGCCCATGTTGGCATTAGACACTTCTATGCTGGGAGGGTCGTCCCAGAGCAATTGGTGAAGGCTGGTATGCTCGGTTTTGGCCATCTTGGTGGGTCGAGCCATTTGAACTTCCTCAAGCCGTTGGTGGGATAATCTATATTTCCATGGGATCCAAGCAATGTCTTTCTTCTGGACCTGGCCGTGGGCCATTGCAATCAGTCTACCTGATGGACAAGTGTCCGGACTAAGAACTTCCGATGGATAATCTCTGAAAAAGGCACGTTTCAATTCCGCCAAGGTCTGAGCACTGAGTTTGGGTGCTTGCACCTCATTCCAAGAGCTAACTGAGCTTGCAGCCTGGCTTGCTGGGTCAGGTGCTTGCGATGGTGCAGGCAGCTGTTGAAGCTTCTTCCAAGCAGCTTTGATGGAAGCTTTCTGAACTAATGCCAATTCGGATTGATCGGGAAACATTTCACCCCACAAGTCATCGAACCCTGAAAATGATCATTTTGTGGATCATCGTCAAGTGGTCTGATGTGGTGATTCAATCCACAGATGAAGTCATGCATGGTCAACCATGAAAATAAGCATGGATATGAAAGCGTCTGCCATGCCAAGTAGCTGCAAATGATTGCATTAAGCTCCGGGCCAAAAAAGAGGGAGATACAGCAAGCTGGGGTATATTATCAGTGAGATATCCATAAGTGAGGTTGTGATAAATTCCCTTGGAATGGTTGATTAAATCAGAATATACAGGAAATAGTTTCTAGGAGTATATAGGAAAAATATAATAACTGTGCCGGCTGAAAGCAATTCACTCAAATGCACAAAGTTTGACGCAGTGATGGACACAAGCTGACATGCTGTCTCTTTTTCATACCCGAAGCAGCTTTGATGGCTAGTGGTCAGAAGCGCGACCAAATGTGGCGGCAACCCGGATGGTTGCATAGCGAGCCCGTCTGGGCTTCTAAGTCAGCATATTGAACCATCTTAAGCGAAGATGTCAAAAACTGGCGGCCACAGGCCATTCGAGTTGCTTTGTTAGTCCCTGAGGGAGCATTCCAGGTGGCGACCACATGAATGGTCTGGCGCAACTGTGCTAGAACATGGGTTGACCCATCAACGTTGGCAGGTTGTGCCCTAGCTGATGGTTCCTCTTGCTGAGAGCTGGAGTTTGAGGAATCCGACGAAGCCGATGTTGTAGAGGCCACGTCTGAAGCTGACTCTTCGTCTATGTCTATTGTTTCCAAGATTTCTTCCATACGAGCAGGAATATTCCCCCCTGGTGATCAGGGAAAAAAGAAAAATTTCCAGTCAAAGTCTGTTGCAGCTTTTTGGTAGCGTTCCAATTTGATCGCCGGCTCAATTGCTGGCGTCTGGCCCCCACGATGGATGGGAGTTTTGGGTCGAAAATCCGTCGCAATGGAATCAATTAGTATTTGTTGCAGTTGCAGCTGCGGGTACACATCATCACGTGAATATAGTCGAACTGATTGGTTCACTGAGCGATGGTGACCTTGTTGTCTCCTCTGCTCTTCCGTGATCGCAGGAATCTGAGAGCTCCATGATAAAAAAGTGGCTTTGAGGCCATGAATGGTGTACTTGCTCGGGTTGAAAGGCCCCGATCCCGCTGAGCGCCATGGAATTTGAATGAATGTTCGCAAATAAAACAGAGCATCCCAAAGGCAGTACCAGTTCAAGTGAAGTTTTCATAGTGATACGTGGAATCATGAAATCCAACTGTGAATCACCGTGCTTGGAAAAAATGGTATCCAGCGCTCGAAAAAAGATCAGGAGCCATGTGTGACTGTCCAATGACATAAACCCTGAGGCTAGGCATCCAAAGGCCTGACCTTTGGTGGTTGTCTTTGTTCTCCAAGCTATGCCTCTGATGTCCTGGTAGTCGAACACCATCTGCTGGGGCGCAATGCGTTGCATGTCCGACCAGCGCAAACCTGTCCAGAGTTGGAAAAGGAATGCACCCAATTTTTTTCCGTCCAACGCCTTCATGGCTTCCGCCAGGTCGTCCAACACGTTCAATTGCATGTTGCAAAATAGGGTTAATTGGTTAATTAACGCAAACCTGGCCGTCTGCTAATTGAGGGGCCTCAAGAGTGAACTGGTATAGGACCTGCGCATAGTCCAGTAGGCCGTCACGAAGTCACCACAAGCCGAAAACCAAAACCAAAAGCAAACCCACCAAACCAAAGCAAAACACAGCAACCCAAAACAAAACAGCCAAACAGAGGCGTGACAGGTGCCAGTTCATGGGCTAATTAATGCAAGAGTGATAGCATTGTATCATCTTGACATGGTATGGCAGCAGAAACAAAGGGAAGAACAACAAAATCACAAGGCCATACCTCAAGGTGAGCGAAGCAACAAAGCACCATGCGGAAACCAGGGATCCCCCCAGCCAGGATCCCCGAGATCACATGGCGCAAGCCGTCAAGGCATAACAGCTCACATATAGTCACTTCGAAGCAAACAACGACAAAGCCGTGTCGCAACGAGAGCAGTGAAAAGAAAGGTGAAACGGACAGTGAAACATGAGCTAATGTGAGAAATGATGAAGGGGCACCAACAGCCCACAGGGCGCGCTCAGAGTCCGCTCAGTAGTGCTTTTTCAACCATCATACTCTTGGATAATTTCCTGAGCTCAACTCTAAAGGTCCTTGTTTGATGGGCACAGTGCCCAAACCGGTTCACTTGGAGAGCTGCCAGGGTTTGTGGTCGACTCCGGTACCCTAGTGCTCTTGCCAATAGTCTTCATGAGCTGGAAGATCATCATCTGTGCGTGGTGAAATCTGTGCATTTAGCTCTTCAGATGACGTGCTTGCACCTTTAGCTGTGCGTGGCATAAGCAATATGGCTTTTTGCGCCTGGCTAACTTCGTAGCTGGCGGAGATCGTGCAACTATCTAAGATGCAGCTCAATTGACGCATCTGGCGTGGCAGCTTCAAGGTCAGTGATCCTCTGGGATGGGACGTCTGGGATACCTCGAAGCTTCTGGCATGCCTTGTCGAGCAGTTTGGTGGCGGCATCAACTTCGTCTGTAGTGACTTGACACAGTGTCAATTGAGTAATTGAGTTTGCTAGACGATTGACTGCAGCATCCTCCATTGCTTTTTTTTCCCTCCGGTGTGGCCGATCACGCTCTAAGGCTCGGTCCTTACATGAGACTAAGCTGTTGGTAAGAAAACTGCGACATGGACGCCGGTGGTCACATGAAGCTTGGCAAATCATAACAAAGAACACCAAAAACCAAAACCAGGGCAAGACGCAGATCCCCCAGCCAGATTTGCGTCTCACCGTTCGAAAGACAACAAAGCAAACAGCCAAAGGGGCCAGAGCACAACAAGAAAAACCACAAGAGATCTGCCAAGGACACAGTGGTAGAAACCCACTGTGTCACATTAAAGGACAAAAACATGCAGCAAACGAATTATGACACCCAGAATTGTGAGACATGCGACTGCGTGGTTGCCAGCAAGACAACAAATAGTCGCGTTTATTATACACTGTAAACTAACCAGCTTCTCAGAGTCCACTCACAAGTACTTGTTCACGTGCCCAAATTCAGAGAAATACAAAGTACCAGATGGCGTAAGCATCCGCAGGAGGACGGTAACATTTGTGGCCAGGTGTCTTGTGCCCCTCCCCATGGCGGGGAGCAGCCCAGTGGCAATGACAACGCGGTCACACGGGGCAAGGTGAGTGACCATCCGTCACCAGCCACTAAAACTCGTGCACCTCCAGATGGATATTGCTACCGTGCCAAGTGAACAGAAAGAGGGCCGTTCAGGCACTATCAAACGTGGTCAGCACCCGGTTGAGGTGCCTATTGGCCTATTGAAATGCTTGCAGCAGGTCACGTCTCAATATCAAACAAGACTGCATTGCCTCGCCGGCTCAAAACTGAAAAGTATCTGCAGAACTGTTCAGGTGCTTCTAGAGTGTCTTCGTCTCCGCAAAGTACCTGCAGTGCATTGCAACATAGCAAAAACCAAGGGTTAGCTTGAGATCCAGAACACAGACCACTCTCCCAACGAGTGGGCCAGCTGATGAACCGCTGATCCGAGAAAGTAACTCACGATCCATGTGTGCAGGCTTTGCTGCTCACAGGTCCAGCAGAGAGTGCCACTGGTTCGCACCGGTGTAACTCGCTGCAGTGCAGCCTGGTCCACGGCTCCGGCCGGCTACAAACTACTCCCCTTACAGTATAAGAAGTAAGTGCCAGAGGGACCAAGCAACAGAACAGCCAAGCCGAAACAACAAAACAACCGAATTCAGAGACGAACCAACCTCCAACAGAAAGAGAGAAGGGGAGGGAGTCAAAGAGGCGGGTGTGTGTGGTTTGCTAGGGTCAGCAGTCACCAGCCGTCCTTAGTCACCTCAGTACACTTGCGGACAGTCACATAATAACACAAAAGCAAAAGCATGGTTAACCGGGGGAAGTCAAAAGTACAAGTGAACTTGTCCAGTCTGCGGACAGACACACAAGTACACTGAGAAATGAGGGCCTTAGTTGTGCAGGTGAAAGCAAGATAAATAAGCGTATCAGTCCAGAATGAAGTAAGGAGAAGCCAACAAAAGCATTTTTTTTCCGTCCAACGCCGTATGGCTTCCGCCAGGTCGTTCAACATGTTTCCAATCATGTTGCATGTGAGTTTAATTATCTAATTCACGCAGGGGCCAAGCTGTAGGGCCGCAAAAGTCAACTGGTAGAGGACCGATACATAGTCCTATTCCCTTGTCACGTTCCAAAGAACAAGAACCGAAACACAAAGAACCAAAAGCAAAAACAACACAAAACACAAAACACAAGCAAAAGCAAACCACACAAAAACACACAAAAAACACACAACCACACAGCAGTGACGTGACAGGTTCCAGTTATGGGTGAAAAAGAACTGTTGAGGCAAGAGGTGATAGCTTAGTATCATCTCGGCGTATGCAGATGACAACTTATGTGTCATGCTACGCAGGCCCATGACACAATACAACAACGTAAAAAACACAAACACACCATGGGCCACTTGAAGGGTGCAGGAAGCAACAAAGCTCAATGCGGAAACCAGGGATCCCCCCAGCCAGGATCCCCGAGATCACAAGGAGCAGCTCACGGCATGACAGTCACCCTGACACTTTGAAGCAAACACCGACAAAGCCGGGTCACAACAAAGTGGTGAGAAAAACTACCGCAGTGAAACAGGAAAGTGAAACATGATCTAAGGTGAAAAAGACAGCGAGGCTACGGCACTCAGGGCACACTCAGAGTCCGCTCAGAACTGCTTTTCCAATCATCATACTGCATCAAAATTGGTTCCGGTAGGCATCATTGTGCTAGTGCTCTTGCAACTCGTCTTCATGGTATGGGAGATTGTACTCGTCATCAGTGCGTGGTGATATCTGTGCATTAAGTTCTTCGGACGAGGTGCTGGCTCCCTTGGCTGTATGGTGAAGCTGTA